ACTATTTCAGCACGAATTCAGTACTATTTCAGTACTATTTCAGCACTATTTCATTACTATTTCAGTACTATTTCAGTGCTATTTTAGTACTATTTCAGTGCTATTTCAGTACTATTTCAGTACTATTTTAGTACTATTTCAGTACTATTTTAGTACTTTTTCAGTACTATGTCAGTACTATTTCAGTATTATTTCAGTAATATTTCAGTACTATTTCAGTATTATTTCAGTACTATTTCAGTACTATGTACGTACTGTTTCTGTACTATTTGGGACACAATTTGTACTACAATACAAAATTTTTCAAAACGGTTTACCGGCAATAATTTGGAAAACGATTTAGTAGAATTCATTGTATGATCCAAATATAATATCCTAGAAAATTTGAATCTATTCGAAAACAATTTCTCATATCTTTAAGGGTCGATGAAATTTATTCTGCGATTAGCGTATCTTATGATTACATAATTTGAAGACACAGGCAATCTCATTTAGTAGCACTTTTGTTAAAATTACGAGAGATACTAGCAAAAAAAAATTTGTAGTTATTGTTAATATCACTATCATATTGTTTTCAAACATTACAACTAATAATTAACTTGCTGTATTCTAGTAATATATAATCGATAATAAATCTATTAATAAAAATAATCAATTATTCCAAAATAATCCACTAATCGAAAAGAATAGATTCATTTTAGGTTATCGAATATTCGAAAATAATCTATTATTTTGATAATCGTCCGACCTAGTTATAATCAACGTTTTTAACAATCATTTTTAGGAACACAATTTTTTAAACAGGAAGTTTTATTTGAGTAATCGAATTTTTTAAATTACTTTATAGAAATCTACTATCAACCAAAACTAGTCAAAAAACTGAAATCTACTTAAAAATTAGAGATCTACTAAATGTGGCAACGTTGGATCAAAGTCAGAGTGACCCATAGATTGTGAACATAAGCATTGGAGACAGAGAAGGACTTGGAGGATTAGAGCATGAGTGAATGGTGAAATTCTGGAATCCACCAAAACTAGAAACATTATCACGTTCTACCTGGAAAGTTCTCGAAAGCGCCTTCGCCATAGTAGTCACAAATATTTGATCTAAAGGGGTTTAATTATGTATGATAATCGGACAAGTTGAGCCTCAAAGGCCAAATAAGACAGAGAGAGGATTAGAGCATGACTGAATAATGAAATGGCTCACATTACAATATCTTTTTGAGATTTAATGTATTATCTTTTTCTTTTCTAACTTTTAATCTAACCAACTTACACATGGCTACTTCGAGTTTGAACAAACATATGATTTACATTAAAGAAGATAGGATTATTGTTTTGTTATGTTAAAAACTAAATATTTTAGTTATTGTAATATTTTTTTTGTTTTAATTACATTGGAAACCATCTATAAACATTATAAGTTCTAGTTCTAGCTTTTCTTTATATTTGGAGATTATTTTTAAATATTTATGTAGAAAGCTCGACATTGACTTTTGTGCAACAAGATTATAATATGAAATTTTACCTACCGTTTTTCAATTCTTTTATTGTAAATTTATTCATTTTCACAATTTGTCACACATGTCAAATAAAATCATATATTTTTTATATGCCTTTTTTGGCAATTAATTATTATTTGTTTATTTTGTAAGATCAGTCCCATCACAATACATAACGTTAAACAGATACAAATATTAATATAATCAAGGCTAAAACAATGCATAATATACTAGAAAAATAGGTACAATAAAATAATGATAAAGTCAAAAATTATTTAATAGGTTTATCAATACCTCGAACGTAAACTGCACTATGTAATTTTAGTCATATATTACATATATTAATTAAATTTTGACAAGAAATACAGTTAGCCCCAATTATTGTTACATTATGATTTTCTAATAATCTAAATAATAATACTTTTTTTTAATATACATGAATGGTTGGTTTTTGTAACACTTTTCTATGTTCTGATAACAAATTTTCTATACCTCCAACATGCCTCTATAAATAATAAGACTAACGTGAGAGTTAAAAACATTATGTGCACATAAAGTTTATTGAACATAGCGTCATACTTTTTTTTGTCAACTTTTATTTTAATACATAATAAATTAAACCCCTGGAAAGGTCTCGATGAGCTGATTTTAAAAATATACCTTCTATAAATCATATTTTAGTATGTTATCGGCAAATATTTAATTTAGTCTTCATGATATATGTACATACACAACTATTTAGTTTCTTGAATTTATTTAGGCCAGTGCAATATTTATTTTTTATATCGTCTTAAAAAACTGTAATAATAAAAATATTGAAATTGAATTTATATTTTTATGTGATTTTAAAATATTATGTTTTTTGGAAGTGTGTGTTCACAGCGAAAATAAACCAATGGAGCAACCGGTCCTAATAGTAACATTAATTTTATATTTTTTCACTTGTGTGTTAGGTAAATTTGGTTTCAATTCATTAACAAATACTATTTATAAAATAAATTTCTAAAAATTTTGGAAAGATTTGACGTATTCAAAAATGGTCCCTATAGATTCTGCAGCTGGGAAATGATAGTTATGATCTTTGCCTTCATATCTTTTATATAGGTTTGTTTCACTAGAGTACTTAAAATACATGCGCGAACTTATACATATAGTTGATTAGACTAGAATTGGAACGATTTAGAACCCGTTGATAATTTTATTTCCTTATACCAACCTATAAATATCAAAATAAAACACAAATACTGAAAAACTTTGGTCCTTTTATTATATTTTATTTCTATTAAGGTAAAAATGTTCCAAAAATAGCTTTTGGAACATTTAAGTATTTGAGTAATTACTTCATTATTATGTTTGTAATTAATATTAGTCTTGCAACCTATGTTCTAACCCAATTGTTATATACCTACCTTTCCGTGGCCTAGTTTTGTGTGTAAAAAAAATGTCTTGACGGGCCCCTAGACAAGAAGAAATGTTTTCCTTTGTTTATTCCTTGCTTGCCTTATCTTCTGTTATATATTTTTCTTCTTTTCTTGCTTAGGACAAAAGTGTGTAAGTGTGTATGATTGAATGGATGTATTTAGAGTGATAATGCAATTTAAACTTATATAATTTATTCCGCGACTGGCTGAATGGCAAGTGCCCAAGCCAAAAAAAAAAAAAAAAAAAGTTTTATTTCAACAATATGGTTTAAGAATTTTGTTTGAAAATCCTGCCCTCTTCCAATACTAATTCTTTAATTAATAACAAAACAAAAAAAGTGAGGTTAAATAACACATTAAACAGATCCAGAACCAAAAATTCTTGAACAGTGCCAAAACTATAAGAACGATTTGTAATCAGTTCGGAACTCAATTAATTCGTCACTGGACCAATGCACTGTAAATTCTGAAATTTAAAATAAAATTTGCTGGAACGGTAAAATAGCTTTGCGTAAACTCAGTAAAGTTCTGAACGGTTCTAAACTGTACAATCATTCTTCTAATTTTGAAAGATATATTGCGTGTATAAAACAATATATGGGTAATATTTTTGGTCCACGGCCATTTAATAATAAATAAATATTCTACCTTTTAACTAAGAGTATAATGGTACCCATATATCACTACAGTAAATTATGATAATTCACGCTTTTGTAATTCCGGAACATTCCGGTAGGTGACTAGAGATGGGCGATAATTTTCATAACGATATTTTCTAGAGTGCACTTTAGATTTTGTGATTTATCACATGAGTTATCACATGATTTTGTCATAAATATTTAAGTCATATGTAGAATTAAAATCATACCACTTTCATGTTATAATAATCACATAATTTGAAGTGCACTTAATATTGATTTTAAATATTATACCGATACGGTGAATCGATACTTTACACAGTATCGCCCATCTCTAGAAGTGTCACGGATTATTTGACTTTGATGTGCTCCTGTCCTAAAATTTATTAATTTTGAATTTAAGGCATTTCTTTGTTAAACAACAGTTAGTTACCTATGTTTAATAAACACTTTCCGTTCTATATTTAACTTTTATTTAATAAAAAAATCGTGGAAAAAGTATAGTATTACACTCGCAATTTATGGCCATTTTTCACTCGGGTGACTTGCGACCCTCGCCTACGGCTCGAAACGCAAACCTCACCCTGCGTGAATAATGGCTACCATAAATTGCTCGTTTATTAATATACTATTAAAAACGAATACAGTATTATTAGATTATTCAAAAATTACAATAAAATACAGGGTGTTCTATTATAAAAAAATATATCTTTTTATTTGTCAGGCAAAAACTTCCTGTATATTAAAAACAATTTTTAAAATATATTCTCAAATCCATGTAACTTTTATTTGACACTTGTTTGTGTGTCCAATTTAGTCGGAAACTTTTTTATTCTTAGATATATGAAAAAAGAAATTCTCTATAAAAAGTTCTGCATGGTCTAAAACCTGAAATACAATCATCATATATCAAATTTTTATAATAGTATACGAGGTATATCAACTAATATTAATTTTTCTGCAGAGTAAAGTATCTATATTTTTGAAAAACCTCGTAAACGACTGATAAAATTTGATATCTGACGGTTGTATTTTACGTTTTTGACTGTATTCGACTTTTTATGAAGAATAACATTTTTGATAAAATTAGTAATAAAAAAGCTTTCCGTATGCCACCAACTGTTTAGGTGAGTTGGCAGCATGTGAAAAACTGTTTTATTATTAATGTTAGAAAAATGCTTTTATTCATAAAAAGTCAAGCATGGTCTAAAACCTAAAATCAGATATCAAATTTTATCAGTCCTCGTATACTATTGTAAAACTTTAATAACTGATGGTTGCATTTTTGATTTCGGACAATGCAAACTTTTTATAAAAAAATGACTTTTTTCAAAAAAATAATAAAAACGTTTCTCATATGGTTCCGACTTAATTAAACACACTGTATGAGTATATCTCTAGAAAAATTAATATATTATAATAATGTGAATTTATAGATTTTTAGACATGGGCAGAGAACACCAGCAAAATTTTATACCACGGACCCTTATAAAGATATTGATACCTATTGGAGAGGATTAGACTTTGCCCAACTGACAAACGTAAGTAACATAATATTTATCAAAAACAATCATTTATATTAACGATGTTTTAAACTCATTTTTGTTTATTCCGATGAATAAAAATGCCAAATTAAAAGTAGATGTTATTAGAAAATAATTAAATATTGCCTCATCTCCATATCAAGTCACATATATTTCAACCTTACTTTCTTTGACAGCGTTAGTGGAAGTCAAAGAATTTGTGTTATTGTCATTATTATTTTTTACTTGTCACAATAATGTATATACATTATACAATTACACCTTATCACTGTTATTTATCGATGGAACTCCGAAACCAGCGATTCCACTTAGATAGATACCCAACTTTTAAACGTTTCATAAGTAGTCTTTTTCTACTACTCCTTCCCACTTCACCTCTCATGTAATAATTTTCAATAACATCCTATATACATTATAAAGGGTTATTAAAAGGCACACTATTTTTACTTTTTTTACGATTTGACTTTCGATTCGACTTTCGATTCGACTTTCGATTCGACTTTCGATTCGACTTTCGATTCGACTTTCGATTCGACTTTCGATTCGACTTTCGATTCGACTTTCGATTCGACTTTCGATTCGACTTTCGATTCGACTTTCGATTCGACTTTCGATTCGACTTTTGATTCGACTTTCGATTCGACTTTCGATTCGACTTTCGATTCGACTTTCGATTCGACTTTCGATTCGACTTTCGATTCGACTTTCGATTCGACTTTCGATTCGACTTTCGATTCGACTTTCGATTCAACTTTCGATTCGACTTTCGATTCGACTTTCGATTCGACTTTCGATTCGACTTTCGATTCGACTTTCGATTAGACTTTCGATTGGACTTTCGATTCGACTTTCGATTCGACTTTCGATTCGACTTTCGATTCGACTTTCGATTCGACTTTCGATTCGACTTTCGATTCGACTTTCGATTCGACTTTCGATTCGACTTTCGATTCGACTTTCGATTCGACTTTCGATTCGACTTTCGATTCGACTTTCGATTCGACTTTCGATTCGACTTTCGATTCGACTTTCGATTCGACTTTCGATTCGACTTTCGATTCGACTTTAGATACGACTTTCGATTCAACTTTCGATTCGGCTTTCGATTTGACTTTCGGATTTGACAGTAACGAATGAGTCGCCTAGAACTCGAAAGTCGAATCGAATGATGTTGTATTCGGCCAGGAATAAAGTCGAACTACTTATAAATTGTCATTCGACATATAAAATTGCATATATTAGTTAATTTTATTTTAGGAAGGTAAACGTCAACATTACGCACTAGGCCAATTCTCAAGAAAGAGATATGCAGGCTGGTTACCAGAAGTCTACAACAAAAGAGACATATATGTCCAAACTACGGACGTCGATAGAACTCACATGTCAGCGCAAGCTAATTTAAATGGACTATATCCTCCAAAGAGTAGCGGGGTGTGGCGCAAAAACGTAAACTGGCAGCCTATACCTATACATCCAGGTGACCCAAGAGTGCTTTTCACATTTAGATATGGTTGTCCTCTATATAACAAATTACTAGTTCAAGCTGACTCAAGCGAAGAATTTAAAAATCTCAATAAATTATACGAGAGCATGTTCAAGTATATTTCCGAATATACCAATTCATCTATTACGAATCTATCAGAAGCATATTATCTGTACGATGCTTTACATATTGAGGAACAAATGGGATATCCTCTTCCATCGTGGACACATGCTGTTTACCCAGAACCAATAAGAACACTAGCATTAACGCTTTTTGAAAAGTTTGTATATGATGACCAAATGAAGAAATTGTGTAAGTATTAGTTTATTAATCGATTGAGTCTATTTCTATAAACACTTTACAAAATCCGCGCCCAGAAAAATCCGGAACAAATTTTTAAAATGTAGTTCTGTTCGTAGTTACTGGGACACTTCTGAACGACATCATTGAACACTTTGAAGCAATAATAGCAGATCCAACTTCTACACCAAAATATCAAATGATGAGTGGTCATGACAGTAATATATATTCCATCCTAAAAAGTGTAGGACAAACACCAACGAAACCAGTACCGTTCGCAGTATCCCTTTGGTTTGAGTTAAGGAGAGTTAATTTCATTCATGTTGTTCAATTATGGATGAGGAGCAACGATAAACTGACTCAGCTTAGTATTAAAGGATGCGAGTTGAATTGTCCTTTGACGAAAGTAAAAACGCTATTAAGTGATGTTCTGATAGATTTGGAGAGTGCTGAAGCACTTTGTGTTAAGGTATAAATATATTTTTTAAAATAGGTAATTTGTTGCACATAATAATAAAAAAATTACAGCAATACATACGAAGTTTTATTTAAAATTAAATGGCCCTTTTAAGTAATAAAAGTATTTCAGATGCGCTGGGGATATCTCGTCTAACATTTGTAGTAATTTAATTGGTTCAAGGCTTTTCATAACGTCCCTGTTCCAGAATGAATCTTATTTTAAAATAGTTGCTCTTATTTTGTCTCAAATCACTTATTTTGAACTTTGGCCTACTAATGTGCTTTTTGGAAGTAAAATGATTGAAAGTACCTTGAATTAGAATAAGTTCAATTTCTTCTACCACCTTATTTTACACTTATTATACCTTAAATAACAACAGCAGCAATATTATGTTATATAAACCTATATGTGTAACTGTTTGTCGATTATACTGCTGCTACTTCAACCATCATCAACCTTCTCCTGATTAATGCAACAAAGTTAAGCGCGCTTGAGCTTTGTTTACTATTTTTTACTGTTTAAAAACCAACCCTTTTGTAGGTAAGAAGGGTATTTTTAAAAACTACTTCAATTTTTTTCCGCAAAGTACTAATTAAATCATCTGGAGTGAAATTGATCCAAATGTACTAGAGCCTGTGCTTGAGATAGAGCACAGTTCTAGTAGAATTGACTCATAGCCGTTTTTTCATTACATGCCACAAAGTTTCGTTGGGCGAAATGTACCAACTAAAGGCAACCCATTCAATGAGTGGTATTTTATGGTCTGAAAGCCATTTCATGGAATTTTTAGAGGTGTAACATGCCGCACCATCTTTCTGAAATCCTACTCTTTTCCAAAGTAGGCAACAAAGCGTCCTCTAAATATTTTTCTAAGTTAACAAAATGTATCGTCGATAAAATTTAATTTTTCGAACTCCCTACCCTATATTGAATCCCAGGGCATTGCCGAAAAAGGTTATTTAACTTTGCGTTTGAGATAATCAGTAAGTTTCATGTTTCTGGCGGATAAGTCTGGCTAATACCAATGCAAACTTAAAAACGTGATTCGTCACTACAATGTTTATTATTTCACATCTTCATATTCTAAATTTAATGGTCTTTAGCTTATTTTAACCTGTCTCGTTTTTGTTCAAGTCAATAAGATGTTTCTTTAGCATTCGCATAGAAAACAGATCATTATCTTTTGCCCTTTAAGATGACCTTAAAAAGAGAAAGATAAAGAAAGATAGAGAAAGATAGAGAAATATAGAGAAATATAGAGAAAGATAGAGAAAGATAGAGAAAGATAGAGAAAGATAGAGAAAGATAGAGAAAGATAGAGAAAGATAGAGAAAGATAGAGAAAGATAGAGAAAGATAGAGAAAGATAGAGAAAGATAGAGAAAGATAGAGAAGAAAGATAGAGAAAGATAGAGAAAGATAGAGAAAGATAGAGAAAGATAGAGAAAGATAGAGAAAGATAGAGAAAGATAGAGAAAGATAGAGAAAGATAGAGAAAGATAGAGAAAGATAGAGAAAGATAGAGAAAGATAGAGAAAGATAGAGAAAGATAGAGAAAGATAGAGAAAGATAGAGAAAGATAGAGAAAGATAGAGAAAGATAGAGAAAGATAGAGAAAGATAGAGAAAGATAGAGAAAGATAGAGAAAGATAGAGAAAGATAGAGAAAGATAGAGAAAGATAGAGAAAGATAGAGAAAGATAGAGAAAGATAGAGAAAGATAGAGAAAGATAGAGAAAGATAGAGAAAGATAGAGAAAGATAGAGAAAGATAGAGAAAGATAGAGAAAGATAGAGAAAGATAGAGAAAGATAGAGAAAGATAGAGAAAGATAGAGAAAGATAGAGAAAGATAGAGAAAGATAGAGAAAGATAGAGAAAGATAGAGAAAGATAGAGAAAGATAGAGAAAGATAGAGAAAGATAGAGAAAGATAGAGAAAGATAGAGAAAGATAGAGAAAGATAGAGAAAGATAGAGAAAGATAGAGAAAGATAGAGAAAGATAGAGAAAGATAGAGAAAGATAGAGAAAGATAGAGAAAGATAGAGAAAGATAGAGAAAGATAGAGAAAGATAGAGAAAGATAGAGAAAGATAGAGAAAGATAGAGAAAGATAGAGAAAGATAGAGAAAGATAGAGAAAGATAGAGAAAGATAGAGAAAGATAGAGAAAGATAGAGAAAGATAGAGAAAGATAGAGAAAGATAGAGAAAGATAGAGAAAGATAGAGAAAGATAGAGAAAGATAGAGAAAGATAGAGAAAGATAGAGAAAGATAGAGAAAGATAGAGAAAGATAGAGAAAGATAGAGAAAGATAGAGAAAGATAGAGAAAGATAGAGAAAGATAGAGAAAGATAGAGAAAGATAGAGAAAGATAGAGAAAGATAGAGAAAGATAGAGAAAGATAGAGAAAGATAGAGAAAGATAGAGAAAGATAGAGAAAGATAGAGAAAGATAGAGAAAGATAGAGAAAGATAGAGAAAGATAGAGAAAGATAGAGAAAGATAGAGAAAGATAGAGAAAGATATAGAAAAGATAGAGCAAGATAGAGAAAAATAGAAACAGATAGAGAAAGATAGAGAAAGATAGAGAAAGATAGAGAAAGATAGAGAAAGATAGAGAAAGATAGAGAAAGATAGAGAAAGATAGAGAAAGATAGAGAAAGATAGAGAAAGATAGAGAAAGATAGAGAAAGATAGAGAAAGATAGAGAAAGATAGAGAAAGATAGAGAAAGATAGAGAAAGATAGAGAAAGATAGAGAAAGATAGAGAAAGATAGAGAAAGATAGAGAAAGATAGAGAAAGATAGAGAAAGATAGAGAAAGATAGAGAAAGATAGAGAAAGATAGAGAAAGATAGAGAAAGATAGAGAAAGATAGAGAAAGATAGAGAAAGATAGAGAAAGATAGAGAAAGATAGAGAAAGATAGAGAAAGATAGAGAAAGATAGAGAAAGATAGAGAAAGATAGAGAAAGATAGAGAAAGATAGAGAAAGATAGAGAAAGATAGAGAAAGATAGAGAAAGATAGAGAAAGATAGAGAAAGATAGAGAAAGATAGAGAAAGATAGAGAAAGATAGAGAAAGATAGAGAAAGATAGAGAAAGATAGAGAAAGATAGAGAAAGATAGAGAAAGATAGAGAAAGATAGAGAAAGATAGAGAAAGATAGAGAAAGATAGAGAAAGATAGAGAAAGATAGAGAAAGATAGAGAAAGATAGAGAAAGATAGAGAAAGATAGAGAAAGATAGAGAAAGATAGAGAAAGATAGAGAAAGATAGAGAAAGATAGAGAAAGATAGAGAAAGATAGAGAAAGATAGAGAAAGATAGAGAAAGATAGAGAAAGATAGAGAAAGATAGAGAAAGATAGAGAAAGATAGAGAAAGATAGAGAAAGATAGAGAAAGATAGAGAAAGATAGAGAAAGATAGAGAAAGATAGAGAAAGATAGAGAAAGATAGAGAAAGATAGAGAAAGATAGAGAAAGATAGAGAAGATAGAGAAAGATAGAGAAAGATAGAGAAAGATAGAGAAAGATAGAGAAAGATAGAGAAAGATAGAGAAAGATAGAGAAAGATAGAGAAAGATAGAGAAAGATAGAGAAAGATAGAGAAAGATAGAGAAAGATAGAGAAAGATAGAGAAAGATAGAGAAAGATAGAGAAAGATAGAGAAAGATAGAGAAAGATAGAGAAAGATAGAGAAAGATAGAGAAAGATAGAGAAAGATAGAGAAAGATAGAGAAAGATAGAGAAAGATAGAGAAAGATAGAGAAAGATAGAGAAAGATAGAGAAAGATAGAGAAAGATAGAGAAAGATAGAGAAAGATAGAGAAAGATAGAGAAAGATAGAGAAAGATAGAGAAAGATAGAGAAAGATAGAGAAAGATAGAGAAAGATAGAGAAAGATAGAGAAAGATAGAGAAAGATAGAGAAAGATAGAGAAAGATAGAGAAAGATAGAGAAAGATAGAGAAAGATAGAGAAAGATAGAGAAAGATAGAGAAAGATAGAGAAAGATAGAGAAAGATAGAGAAAGATAGAGAAAGATAGAGAAAGATAGAGAAAGATAGAGAAAGATAGAGAAAGATAGAGAAAGATAGAGAAAGATAGAGAAAGATAGAGAAAGATAGAGAAAGATAGAGAAAGATAGAGAAAGATAGAGAAAGATAGAGAAAGATAGAGAAAGATAGAGAAAGATAGAGAAAGATAGAGAAAGATAGAGAAAGATAGAGAAAGATAGAGAAAGATAGAGAAAGATAGAGAAAGATAGAGAAAGATAGAGAAAGATAGAGAAAGATAGAGAAAGATAGAGAAAGATAGAGAAAGATAGAGAAAGATAGAGAAAGATAGAGAAAGATAGAGAAAGATAGAGAAAGATAGAGAAAGATAGAGAAAGATAGAGAAAGATAGAGAAAGATAGAGAAAGATAGAGAAAGATAGAGAAAGATAGAGAAAGATAGAGAAAGATAGAGAAAGATAGAGAAAGATAGAGAAAGATAGAGAAAGATAGAGAAAGATAGAGAAAGATAGAGAAAGATAGAGAAAGATAGAGAAAGATAGAGAAAGATAGAGAAAGATAGAGAAAGATAGAGAAAGATAGAGAAGATAGAGAAAGATAGAGAAAGATAGAGAAAGATAGAGAAAGATAGAGAAAGATAGAGAAAGATAGAGAAAGATAGAGAAAGATAGAGAAAGATAGAGAAAGATAGAGAAAGATAGAGAAAGATAGAGAAAGATAGAGAAAGATAGAGAAAGATAGAGAAGATAGAGAAAGATAGAGAAAGATAGAGAAAGATAGAGAAAGATGGAGAAATATAGAGAAAGATAGAGAAAGATAGAGAAAGATAGAGAAAGATAGAGAAAGATAGAGAAAGATAGAGAAAGATAGAGAAAGATAGAGAAAGATAGAGAAAGATAGAGAAAGATAGAGAAAGATAGAGAAAGATAGAGAAAGATAGAGAAAGATAGAGAAAGATAGAGCAAGATAGAGAAAGATAGAGAAAGATAGAGAAAGATAGAGAAAGATAGAGAAAGATAGAGAA